GATCATCAGATGGGGTTGGCAGGTCTGTGTATATGTCAGTACGCTGGCGTATATCGTGCGTTATTTGTGTGTTCGTGAGTCGTATGGCGTATGTCGCTGGAGGAGGTATGCACTCTCCGTGAGTGCACTCTGTCTAGTTTGTCTGATGTGATCATGAGATGTAAGTTCCAAGAGATTAAGCGATATAGTTGTGGAGCAGTGAGTAAATAGCGGAAATACTTATCATATTTCCAACTTGTGACAGATGTTCAATTCTCAATCAGCAGTTTTATACCTAAATGTGACAATGTTGGTTGACAAATAAAGGAATGTGTATAATGGATGATTTTGCACGAACTGGGAAATGAAGTTGGCATAAGCTAGAAGTGTCCAGTACATTCAAATACGTACATTATTTGTGTGTAGTACTGCATATTTCGGTTTTATGTATTTTGAGCATATGTGGAATGGTTGTGATATCGAGGGTTCCGATGATTCGATGATAAGAATGCAGGACAGGGCTCCAAATATTTGGTATCTGGTTGTCTGAGGTTACTCAATAAGTTCAGTCAACTCTTTAGCTGATGGTCGTACTAGTTTTATTTATCATCAATCAATGATAACAGCGTCTAAAACACGTAAGGCGAGAATTTTTTATTTTGTTGGTTTACAGATCCGCCGACCCGAATTTTCAAGAAAAACAAAAAAAATAAAAATGGAAAATCTGTATTTTTTTATTCCCGCCGACCTTTTCTCTAAGAAAAATGAATAAAAAAAATTTAAATGTAAAAAACAAAAACATTTCATAAACAGTTTATAATAAAAGTAAAAATAATTACAAGTTGAGTTTTGTTTTCATTTAGTTTTTTTAAAATATTTTAATATCATGTATAACAGTATCATTGTATTTTGACTTGTTTGATCTGACAAAACGACCCCTTTTTTTTACCCTACCGAGTCAACAACAACAAACAAAATTATGTAAACCAACAAAATAAAAAATGGTGGCCTAAGACAAAAGAAATGAAATAAGTGTGAGAACCATAGTCACCAAATATTGTGTTGCACAGCCGCAACATATAAAGATATTGCGCAGTGGACAACTTAGTAAAAGTAGACAAGAACAGGATGCTTTTATTCTTATCCAATTAAGTGTACGTGTGTGCGCGCACGAGCGTGTGCGTGTGTTTGCGTGTGCGTATATGTATTGTGTATGTGTCACATCGGTATGGCTTTGGGGGGTGCGGGTGCTCTGGTGGCATCTGGACCCCGCCTTATAGGACCATTTAGTTTAAATACATTTGTGTAATTTCTTCGGAGTTTTGTCAGTTTTGTTGTTGTGTCGCGGTCACGTTCGCTTCGCTGCTATTAGCTATGGTTGAATGTTGGGTAAAGTGATGTTAGGTGCATAGACGGGTATCTGCATGGAGGTTAGGTTCATAGCGATAGAGTATTGAGCGGCAGGAATGGAGTGTCTGCCAGGGGCGGATCCAGGATTTTTGAAAGGAGGTTGTCCAGGAAGAAATAAAGGGCACTTTTTTCCTGCTTAATTTTTCTGTTTTAAAAAACTGCCAAAGGCAGCTTATGCGACGTGCCTAATTTTTAAAAATTGGTGCATTCTGAGAGCATCTGAGCAGTAATTTTTTAGGGCACTTTGAAATTAAAGGGGGGTCCGGACCTGCCGGACACACCCCTAGATCTGCCCCTGGGGTATGAGGCGAGTCCATAATATCAGGAGTGGATAATAGAGATCTCTATTATCCACTCCTGATAATATCAATATGATAAAAATATCTATGATTATACTAACAATATAAAAAGCATAAAACAGGGTTTAATAGAAATTTAAAATTACAGATTTTATTTCTATGCCAAAATGTCATCATATTGTAATTGAACAAAATGAATTGAAATGTTTCACATGGCTCATTATAACACAGCACTTTTTACATAATTGGCAGCATACAAAAAATGGTTAGGGAAACTATGATTGTACACACTATGGAATGACACAATTCTATTACATGACGTACGTAGTTTTAGCAGTCTTGTTCATAGCGTTTTTTTTAAATAAATACCTTTTATTAATACACTATAAATGGAACATATAATAATAGCCTTAATATCATAAGTAGATCATTTCAATTTTACAAAATACTTACAGAGAATATTTGCATTGCTGTTCTAAATTAGCCAAAGAACCCAGGAAACTGTGGACATAATACAAGCACAGTGTGCAATGAAACTGGGAGTAATCACCCCTTCGAGGATATAGACCTAGTAACTTGAATGTTGAAATTAACACATTTCAAATAAATAGCTACAGGTGCAAGGATTTCTTTGGAATGTAAGAAAGCATACTGATCATGAACTGACTACTGGATGATGGCAAATGAAGCATGAAAGTGCCAATACATTTACATTTAAGCAGACACTCACACATTCACAAACACGTGGCGAGTCAGTTAGTTTATGCAAAGCTGTGTTCAATGTGCTGAAAAAATGTTCTCTCCAAGAACAGGGTTGAGAACAGCAAGAAGGGACGTAGGACGTGCAGCAAATGGAAAAGATCACATCTTTTTTTCGTTCTAGTGTACATCGAGGACAGAGCCACATACTTTCCTTTTGGCTCTGTAGTCAGTCTGAAGCAAGCGAAACGAAACCATACGATCGGACACAGAAATTAATTACCAAGCACGACTCAACAAACTCCTGAAACCTCTCTTCATTTTTTCCATGCTGCCCTTATTCTATCCACGATTTCAATATATATGTATTACTATATCTCCCATGTGGGACATGCGTCTAAACAGAGGAATTGCTCTGACCTGTGATTGGAGAATAAAAATATAATTCGTGACATTTCGTTTTTAATTTTGCATACCCCGCCGCATACGCTATGACCGGTAGGAAAGTGTACTAAAGCCCGGCGCAAACATGGCGATTTTTATCGACAGTACCGGCGATTTTGTTGCCAGCAACAAAATCGCCGAGAAATCGCCACGTGTGCACTGCACGGCGTCACCGAATTTGACGCCAGAAACTCGTCGCTGGAATATCAAACACGTTTGATATTTGTTGCCCAGTCGCTGAACAATCGCTACGTGTGCGCTGACCAGGCGACGGATTCAGGCAACAGTTTTTGGATTAACCAATCAAATGCATGATTTGAAGCACGTGATCAAAATTATGGCAGTGCCCGTGGTGTGGTTTGAACAGGTCATGTACAGTTTATACAGTGGTATGTCGCTGACAGATGGTTGCATTGTCGCCGGGTGGCGCACACGTGGCGATTTTTATCGACAGTGCTGTCGATAAAAATCGCCACGTGTGCGCCCGGCTTTAGGTTTTGCGATTTCTTGGACAGAACAGCTTTCCTTATGCGGCGTTCACACAGTGCCGATTATGGCTCCCGTTTGAGAACAGACAGCGCTACAACACGAAAAGCGAAAAATTCGGATTACTATCCTCAATGATCTGGAATGTCCTATCATTGTCTGAACGCAGTCGTATACGTTCGTAACAGAGTCCTACGGATCGGGAATGGTCCGGAGAGGTCGGCCAAGCACTCCCGACAGTTATATGCGTCCCGTAATATTCGGGAAACTCAGCCGATTTTGTCTAGTCGGATTACAATGGTGACTATGTCGTGACAGATTCTGCTGTATCGGATCCAAATCGTAACAATGTCCTGTGTTGTCTGGACGGTGTCCTGTGGATCGGGACGCTGTCGTGATGAACGGGCATGATCTGGAGTAATCCATCATTGTCATCGTCTTCCGTCAGCGTCGGTTCACTGTCGGGTGACTGTCTGATCTCTGTCGGATCGCATTCGGGAGAATCGGGACGCTGTCGGGACAGATTTGGTCGTTTTTTACCATGCGAAAGATACAAATCGGATCAGAATCGGATTGAGAACTGGAGAATCGGGACGAATTCGGCTGGACACGGCTGAATCGGGACGCTTCTTGAACAATATCTGATTGCTGTCGTGATTAAATAAATGTTTTTACAAATTTTTAATAAAGTTTGAATTTCCCGCCACGAATCACAGGATCTTGATCAGACTTTTGACAAATTTTAATCGGGAATGGTCTTATCAAGAACGGCAGTAAAAATCCTGAATGTGTGACTGGTGCCTAAGTTCCCAGGCCGCTTAAGGCACAGGCACTTGGGCCGTTGCAATAATAAAATGATGGTTAATAAATACAACTTGTCAG